GGCGGCCTTCGTCAAGCGACTGATGAAACTCCAGGTATAAATGATTTGTCAGTGTGGAGGACGTTTCCTTCTGGATTCTTGGATGGACCTCGTCGGACCCGACGCGCAGAATGGGTTGATCTTGTGCAAGAGTTGACGAGTGTCCTCCACCGTGAAGACCGAGTCGGTTAGAGGTCGTTCGTGGTTACACCTTGACAAGAGTGGATGTGACGAGGAAGCTGGAGCTGAAAATATACCTGCGTATTGTTCTCTGTAAACCTCAGTTATCACTGTTGGATCACTCGTAGGTTCTGTGTTCCTGTCCCCGGAAGAGAACCGAGATGACTTTTTTCTGCGGCGATATTTCATGTATTTGAACTGTACGTTTTTGTTTTTCCGAGCGAGGTCCAGGATGGTGTCTTGTTTTCGTATATTCGATTGACGGACTTATGATTTACAGCGGTTCCGCATTTTACGAAATGCCAGCTCATCTTCTTTATCATCTGCAGTCGGATTTGGAAAGAAGTTGGGCCCTCTTCTCCGGAAGCCGCTGAATCCTTTCAGGCAGCCTGTGGCTCATCCGACTGCGTGCCGTTCTTTTGGACGTGCGTCGCGTCAGCCTCGTGAACTTTCTGGACGGTTGTCCTATATAATTCTTCCACTGAGACTGGTCCCAGTTTAACTTGTTCAAGGGCGATGCGCATTCCTGAGAAGTCTGCACGGCAGAAGTTTCGATTCCACTTTTGGGGCTTGGGATTTCTGGCCCAATAGCAGATGAAATTTCAGGTCAGCACGCAGTGGTCGCTTTGTCCCATACTGTAACTCTATTAGGTTTAAACAATTTGCATCAAAGCTGCTGGATTCGAAAAAGTTCTGAAACGTTACGGCAAAGACTTATTTCCCAAATTACGTTTTCAGTTAAATTTGAGGTGTGAGCCTAAGGACCCCCGTCACCCAGGGCGGTTTCCTCCAATTTTGTTGTCACGCGCGTTAACTTCAAGGTTATCGTAAACACGTCTGCGCTATCGATGGTTCCATCCAAATGAACACTGCTACGTTATACGATTCATAAGGAATGGAACGCAACGGCTCGTGCCCCCGCCTATTTTCCCCGATTTTTGTTTAAATCGTGTAGCGTTTTGTGGGGCGCGTCAGTGTATCTACCGGCACGTTTTCGGGATGGTGAGTCTGGTTTCTGTGCCCCCTCATATTTTTCTGTCTGCGCATGGTTTATTCTGAGTTTCGGATAATTTTTTCCAGTGTATAGGCCCGGGTTCTCCGGCTTGAACTCAGAATTGAGGCGTTTGCCCGAAAACTCCCCGTGAAAAGGTGTTGCAACACTATCTCACGGTTGATGCTATTCCCACAACGTCAAAGAATTCCCCGTTGTTTTATCCTATGATAACTGTCCTCGAAAAACAAATGCCTTACTTAGGACTATGTAGTTGTGTAGTTGGGTGGCGATTTAGGTATAATTGATTTGTAGAAATCGATCAAGACACTGGGGATTACGTAACGAAAAACGATATAACTCAGACAAATGTCGAGTATAATTGGGTCAAAGTATTATTGTGATGCGCATAAAGCTACTTGATGTTGCTATTTTCACTGAAATGTTACAGGGCCTTTCGCGAATCTCTCAGGTCACGAAAATCAAAAAGGTTTGCTAATGATATTCCTGGCTAACCACCATGGTAGTGGGTTTTCTCTCGTGGCTGCTCAAAAAGGTATCTGAAAATGATTTGAACTAAGTTGGGACCACACTGTCGACGGCTTTCGGATGAAGGTCGCTCCACGCACTCACTGCCCGAGATGAAAAAATAATGTCTAGTCAGGGTGCACACTCTTAACTCGAGCACCCATAGTGTCCTCGCCGTGTGTTAATTGGGTCGATGGCCAAAATTTTTCGCCAAAACAAGGCTTAATTATCCCATCGTTCGGTTTTAAGGGTTTAAGGTTGGCAACCTTCTTGGTGCATTCTGTGGACAGGTTCAATAGTGGTTAATACCTCGATTGTTGGGTTGTCAACCTGATCAACTTATTCACCAAACGGTCCGACATGGGCTCCATTGAGTATCTGGAGGTCCGCGCGATTACCACTGCTAATGTGCCGAAACATCCGAAGAACGTCGATTATCTTTTAGGCCGCGTTTTCGTAATGCAATGACGAGGGCATGTTTGAAGATGTACAGGTGTCTTTTTCGCTATCCAGCTCCGTAATATTTCGTTGCCGTGGACGACAAAGGCGTTTGCCAAGTTTCCTCCATGCGATGTGTGCACAATTTCCGTCATCCAGAGGAAGGCGTCGGTCCAGTGGCGTCTGCTTTCCGGTCTCGACATACATTTGAAGTGCACTGGCTTTAGAATCCCAAGACCTCAAGTCGTCCGCAAGGGATAAGCATGGGTTTTAGAGCTCATTATCAGAAAGGTGAAATGTCCTAGAACAGAGCTTTCCGGACCACGATGAACACCGATGCCAAGGGTTAGGGTGGTCGGACTTCGATGAACACGAAGCCAAAGGTTAGGGTGGTCGGACTTCCATTTGGAGCATTATGCTTGAAACGAAGTCCCTAATCCAGTGCAGAATTCCCAAATTGTTTTAGGCCTCGATATATGAAGCTCTCCGTGGACGCAGGTGCGTTCGGTACACAAGAGCGGTTTTGGGGGAAGTCTGTGTTGCGCCAAGTGTAAAAGTCTGTTGGCGATGAAGCTGTTTAGAATGATCCTTTTGGGATGTGTTCTGTTGCTTTGCACTTTATTGTGGGGAGGCTAATGGGTCTAATGTCGCCATGTAATGAGCGGTCACCAGTTTTGTAGATTGACATGATAATCGCTTCCCTCCAAGCGGACAGTTTTGTCGTGAGAGTGACGACGAAATGTGTAGAAATGCTTCGCTGAGCTGAATAATGTTTTCCTCGGAGTCCTTGGTGAGGTTCATAGGGTTACAACTTGGTGAAGGGTTTTGTCTTGGGCAAGAGTTCACAGACATCTTCCTCCGTGCAGAGAAATTCGGTCAGACAGTCCGTACATCCATCCTACGGAGATTGGATATAAGGTTGTAGGGTTAGAGCCCAAATCTGCATAGTTCTCCGTAGGATTAAGCTAATGCAGTTTAGTCGTTCCTGGGTTCTCCGCTTTACGTATGTTAATTAGGTTCATATCAGTCGGTACTGCCGGGATTACTGGTGTGGGTATTGTGTTTCCACACCGGCTGTTGCCATGCTCGTTCCCGTACAGCCGTTGAACTACCCGTAAAAGTCCTAATTCCTTGTTAGAACACTTCAAGTTGGAAGAATTCGCAAATTCAACAAATATCCGACAAAAATGTAACGGAGTTTAGTATAACCGGCAGACGTTCCCACAGAATGCCGTGTCTCAAGCAGGACTGGATATTAGGATGTGTATTACTGGTTCCACTTGTGCAGGTAACGCCGTGCACTTTTTCGCCTAAAGCGAGCTCCTCTGCATTTCTCGTACTGACTTAACACTAGGTATCGGTCGCAGCTATGGGTTTTTGAATGTGGGTGCTGCTGAAGGATTTCTGGACCAATCCTGAAGGCCCGACAGCGCTTTCACATGCTAGTGTGGTCTGATTATTATCACATGGCGTCGATTTTTAAGAAATAAGACTTGTTTTATGTCAACTTTTGCATCTGCATTCCTTTTACCGGGGGTTCGACGGCGGTCCGTTTTTAGTGTTTATGTTAGATGTGCACCGCTAATTGTTCATGGACGGTTTTGTTCACCTTACATTTCCCATGATGACTCGTGATTGGCACGAGAGCACACATGTCAGCCGAGCTGAACTAGGCAGGTACATCTCCTTTCACATTTCTGATTCCTACCGATGGTTCAGTTCAAAGGAAAAAGGCCGCACCAATTGATTTTATCGTAATCCGGGTGTTTCAAGGCCTTTACCACTTTTAAGCCTACGACAACCTGATTACGAGCGTGCCGCTTTAAGCTTATTTAGAAGCCGTCACAGAGATTCAAACTTATCTCATCCAGCAGTTTCTGCGCTTGTCATGTTGAGCTATACACAGGAGTGTTCTTGCAATCCGCGTTTGCCAATTGCTAGAGGTTGGAATTACCCTCCTTAGTCACGCATGCCGCCGGTGGTGACTGACGTTTAGGCTGCATCCAAAAATGAGTCTGGACAGCCCCAGTTAGTGAGATTAAACAACGCTTTACTTGTTCTAGAACAGGTGTGGATGAGCTGGAATGTACCTCCAAAGATTCCGTACAGGTAACAAGGTGAATACTATTATAAGCAAACAAGTCACGATATTCATCTTGGCATCGTTTTAAATGGCACGTGTTAACTGACGTAAATAAGGGATGTTCTGAATCAGGCACCTCTTTATCCGTCTGTAAGGATGAACGCGGCTCTGTTATAGAATTTCAGGGCAACTCGGTTGGTTTCCGAAGGTTGGTACCGAAGGGGGTTCAGATGCTCGAGAGCTATCTGGCTGACGTTCGACTCTTTCAGCATTGTTTGGGTGTTCAGTGTCCCTCTTGCATTCGGACAGATTGAAGACGTCGTCAGTTGTATTCTGAACCGCTGGGGCTAGGTGGCGAAGGGATACGGTTTCTACTCTCCNCGACTCTTTCAGCATTGTTTGGGTGTTCAGTGTCCCTCTTGCATTCGGACAGATTGAAGACGTCGTCAGTTGTATTCTGAACCGCTGGGGCTAGGTGGCGAAGGGATACGGTTTCTACTCTCCCATCCCTATGAGTGGTGTTTGTAAAACGTAGGTTGCAGTTCAAGAGGTCAACTTCCTCCATTAGCGGTTGATACTTCGAGAACCTGTCAGCTGTCTGCAACAGCAACGAACCGGGGGTAGTTAACCAAGATAGCGAGATTCCAAAGGTTGAGCGGTGTGCATATTGAAACAACCGTTCGTGTGGGGTATTGTTAGCCTTACGTAACATTGATGGTGCATAGGACACGGGATAGTGCGCTAGCCACTAGGCTGTCTTTCCCAGGTCTGTAACTGACGTAGCTAAAGAAGGAGAGTTACATTTTCCGTAGCTGGTTATTGTCGTTTTTATGTTACTTTTTTGCGACACACCTGAAGCAAACTCACCGTTGGTCAGTGATGAGCTTGAACATTTCCCGGGAGTGATAATGCTTCATTTCACGGAGAGACAATGTTGGCGTATGCCTCTTTTCGCTTGGTGTCTGTTCTTGAAAAGAAGGCTACGGACAACCAAGAATACGTTGTCGGCTTCCGTGACCATAAGGTTCTCTAGCTCTTCTAAATTCCTATGGACCTGCATCCACATGCACTGATTGTCAGAAGCACGGTTTTCATTGCGAATGGTGAACAGACACCCCAACAACGAGTTGTTGGATTTAGCGCCGTGTGCATGAAGAAATTGACGAAAAGGGTGCATTCATTTGGGACCTGGTTTGATAATTTCCTTCTGAGATCTACCAGGTAGGCGTATCTGTTTGGCTGCCATGATGCTTTTCTTTCCGTTAGGGGTAATTTCATATTTCAAGGTTACCGTCACTCGCTTTTGGTAGTCCCAAAAATAATGACAATGTCAGCATAGGTGGCGTTTCAGTTTTCGGTTCTGATTATATAGTCAGAAGTACATTGGAAGCATGTCACTCCGTTGGTTACACCGAATAATATGCGATGGAATCGAGGCAGTTCTTTGCACGCCTTGAAAGCCGCTTTGTCTTTCGAACTGATTGGAACTTCATGATAAGCACTCATGCCTAAGGTGCTAAATACAGCATAGTGGTAAATTTCTTCAGTTATTACTGTTGCGCACTCGAATGATTGTGCCAGAAACAAAGAACGAGGATTGCCGAATGATTGGCTTTAACCTTCTATCAATTTCAGTACATCAGCTAAAACATTAGGAAGCACAATTAGCTGGTGTGCAACTACCGCCTCTCTAGATGGAGACCCCGGGACTCAAATTATTAGTGCACTGGTGATGGTGACCATAATACAGATCATAAGGTGTATGTGCACTGATAGAAGTTTTTAGTATGGTTGCGACACGTATAAAAATAAGTACAGTGCGAAATGGGAGCGAGAAAAAAAAGGAACTTATCGTGTGTGAGAGTCCCTTGGTGAAGGTCCGGACTGTGGGAACTTGTTTTCTCCTCAGTATTGCTGATACACGTGTTCCATGGTTGTCCGTGGACTTGTGGAGAGGTTGACTTCCTGCTCCCTGCGCGCGCGTGAGTCTGTGTGCTGACTGTTCGGTTTCCCTATTTGTCGATCCGTTTGCGTATATGTGGGCACGTCAGCACATGAGTGGTTGCTACGCCCACCAGACGGTGCAGACAATCGACGTCTGATGAGTCACCTTGATGTGACGTGGTTTGCAAGTACGAAAAAGACGAGTCTCGTGGTCCAGTGAGCGACTGTGAGCTAAACGGGCAAGTATGTGGGTGACTGGGTGGCTACAAAATCACCAGTGGTTGGTGACTTTGGCGGTGATTGCCCAATCGCGCAGTCAGTCGCGTTCGTGCATCAAAGCTATCGCCTTCAAAGCGTAGCTACCCAATTTCTGGACAAACAGAACATGCTTTCACCCCCAAGGCTTGGTTCCACTTTCCTGTTTTCCGGTGATCGAAACTGTAGCAGCTAGAACCAATGTGCCTCTTGCACACGGTTTATAGCTGATAAATTGAATTGATTTGATGTACACATATACAGATGCATCCAAAGTAAATCATCATCACCGACAGCATGACATCAGTGTTCAACACCGATGCTTCACTGCCGTACAACCGTGATTTATTTGAAAGCCTTATTGTGAAGAAAAGAGTAAAGATACACGGGGGAGGGACTGAGTGCTAGCTTACCACAATTATTCCGAGGTGCCTATACTTCCAGACATTCACTCAGGCAATCTGGATAGAAACTGGCAGCAAGAACGCCACTGACATCGGTTGGCTGCCGTATCTTGTAGTGTCTTCAACCAGGCACAGTGAGGGTCACGCGGTCCCTATCCTGGAAGGCGAGTAGCACTGACAGAACCCAGGTGTTTCGTAATCTCCATACTCTGCCAACTCAAGGGTTGACTACCTCTCTGTTTACTCCACTCTGAGTAGGACATGGAAACAGCACTCTCTCCGGCAAACGATGGTTCGGCATACGTAACACATGTCCCAGCCAACGCAACTTCTGGTGCTGGACACATTGTTCAATGCAAGTACCCGTTGCACAACCGGGAACGCGCTTCCTAACTACCTCGTTACGGATTCACCGACGCCAACCCACACGAGCTATGGTTCTGAGACAACGATTGCCGAACACCCGAAGAAGGTTCAGTTCCGCTGCTCGAATAGGCCGTCTCACAGCCATACAACAAAACAGCCCGTACTGCAGCTTGATAGACACGTCGCTTCAGGGATAAACCATTCTGACGCCATAGGTGTCTCAAATTAGCAAACGCGGCCCGAGCCTTGCAGATTCGTGAATCCACCTCATCTATCGCAATAAAATTAGAACTAATACAACTTCCAAGATTCGTAAAACGCTCCACACCTTCCAGTTCCTCCTCCTGGATTATAAGTGGCGTGTTCAGTGACTGCACGTCCACGAGCGTTACCTTACACTTTGTGTGTGCGAATTGCACACCAAATGACGGGATGACTTTGGTCAGTTCATCCAAAAACACCTGCGCTTTCTTCTATTCGAACGATATCGTCTGCATATTCCAGATGGACAAGGTTTTCTTCACAGGCTATTTGAACTCGGGTTTTGGAGACCCTCTAGCGTTTGTCTCATTGTTTCATCATTCACGAAGTTAAAAAGGAATGGAGAGAGTGGACATCCCTGACGGACATCGCTTTGTGTACGGAAGCTTTTTGAGAGATCTCCGTACACTCGCACGTCCGGAAGTCAGAATACAAAGAACGTATTATGTTTACAAACTTCCGGGGCATTCCTTGGCAGGCAAGCGTCTCAAGAAGAACAGACCGATCAACCGAGTCCAATACGCCTCGGAAATCCAGGAATACTAGAATTGTGGGTCACTTATACGTATGGCGTTGTTCTAGCACCTGACGAAGTGTGAAGATTTGGTCAACACAACCCCTACCAGGTCGGAATCCCGCTCGATGCTCTCGCGTCACTATCATGAGCCACCGTAAGGCGACGAAGCACAATTGACGCCAACAGTCGTTACGACCGGGGTCCCCCTGTGGTTACTACACTCACTTCGCGCCCCTTTTTTGAAAACGGGCACTATCACCGATTCTCCCCAGTTGTCTGGGACAGACTCCTTTTCCCAAATGCAAGCAAACGGATCGGACAAGCGCTGACTGAGGACTTCACCCTCGTCTTTGAACAGTGCTCATCGTCCAGGGTTCTATTTCACCTATGGTCTCTAGATGAGTGTGAGCTGGTGGCCACGACAGCGAATCGAGGTTTCGAATCGACAGGTTCGGAACCAGTTATTCCGGCGTTTGGTGGCATCTAGGGAATTCGAGTCCGTGTCGAGACACGAGTCCTAGCAGCGGTTCCATTGTTGCGGACAAGGAGTATATCCTGATTGGGCGCGAGATGACTCAAAGGTCAAGGCGCCAGCTTAGTGACCGAAAGCTCCATGGTTTGAACCCGATCTCAGTATCTCTACTGCTCCTGTCCAGGCTTGAGCAACTTGGCGATACCGCAGTCATCCGGCCTCGATCCGTTGGCATTTAGCTAAGCATCGAAATGGTGCAACCGCTGAATGATTTGATTCTTTGATAAGAGGATTGCATAGAATTAGTAGCGCTTTACTGGCCTAAGAACGGACGCGCGTAAGCTGTAAGTAAAAGTGAAGCATGGTTAATACGGAGTATAATGCAAAAACACTAGTAATGACACCCTGAGACAGGTCTGAATTATCCGGGTTAGAGTGTTTCTGGTGACAAAAGTCTTCTCCGATTCCCAATAGTCCGTTATCCACGAGCATTCTCTGTCGATCCTTAGGCTGTTCCGCGCTTGAAGGATCTGAGTGCGCCATAGTCGTTGCTACTATGGTTTTCCTGGCACCGGCGAGAGTTGCTCGTCGTTACGATACTGTGCAGTCGACCTCGGATAGTGTTTCTGATCATAAGTTATTACCCTTTCCCAACCGTTCGAATCATGATTGTCATCATTAACGTTAAGCTCTGAAAACCCCTCAGCTAACTCGACCCGATATGATTTAGCTACAGAGATGTCTTGCGCGTGACAAAATCAATGGGCTTGCATCAACCAGTGTTTTCACGATGTGACTGGTTTGCTGGGACTAATGTAGCTGCCCAATTAAACAGATTTGTCATCTACTTCAATCGGTTCATCCGCAAACATGAGGCTAGGGTTTGAGTCCATCCAGTCATGCAGTATCACTTTATACTTTGCAGGTATGAAGCGCATGCCAAGCCGTGAGGTGGAATTATTTAGATAATTTAATATTGTTTACATTGCCACGGGGTCAGTTCCAAAAAGAGCTATGTCGTCTGAATACTCAATATATGTAAGCAAATCCCCCGGGAGAACTTTCACCCCACAGGCATTAGATGCTGATGGTGAGTCTTCCATGGTCCCATCAATACCGAAGTTGAGTGAGAAAGGTGAAAGAAGACAGCCTTGTCTGACACCACTTAATGTGGTGGACTCAGGAGAGAGCTTCCCGTAGACCAATAGCTTCTCGTAGAAGATCACATGGCCGCTGCAGTTGGCGCATAGTGCCTTAGGGAGGGTCAAGAATTAATGGGAGACACCTTTGCTCCGCAGACCTTGCCATGGTGCCTGACGGTCCACAGAGCCGACAGCTTTCTGGCCGGCAACCCGTTTTGAAAGTATCTATGTTCAGGGTCCTCGAACCTGGGTCGTTGGAGCTGAAGCTCGTGATGTTATCTACCGAACTGGCCTTACTTCTTATTGATACTAGCGGTAAAATATTTCTAATGACGTAATGCAGAGGAGTAACATACTGTCACTTGAATCGTGGGATGATGGGTGTTTCAACTTTCAGTTTTAGTTGCGTTGCATCCGTCACTTCATTCTTTTTTATTTGTGTTTATCCCCATTCAGGGTATTGACATCTGCCACAAGTACGACCGGAAAGTTGTCCGACACAATCCGAAGAGTGATGATGTTTATCTTCGGCTTTTGGTTAAAGCCTATAAATTTCTCGCGCGTCGAACCAAATCCAAGTTCAATAAGATAGTAATGCGCCGGCTCTTCATGAGTAAGATCAATCGACCACCACTGTCCATTGCCCGCTTGCTGCGCCTCATGAAAAAGCCCGGCAGAGAAAATAAGATTGCCGTGTGCGTCGGCACCATCACCAACGATTTGCGCATTCGCGAAGTTCCAAAACTAACAGTGAGTTTACAGTTTCCTCAGTGTGAATTTGGTAACAAACTACAACTAGGTCCCTGTTCGACAGTTGTACGACGGCGCACGTAACTTTTGGTTTAAGGTCAAGCAGATTTTATCCGTTTGAGCTACGCACTATTTCAACTTTCAATAACAAATGTAAAGAGCCATTATCGCGCCACCGGGGTGCTGTCGCTGCCCGCAGAGAGATCTCGGTGGATAAGTTTCGTCCTTGAGAAGTATCTCTAGTCAATAACTGTGCATATCCGGTCTGGGAATCATTTTTGTGGTGGACATATTCACTATGAATCCAGCCGTCGACAGAAGGAAGCCTTTAGCTGAATAATTGGGCAGATCTACCTTCTTCGACTCCACTGAGATAGTTGCGATCCTTGCAACCACCCCAGTATTCCTCTCTTGGTATCCTCTACAGGGCTTCAGGAACGACTTAGCGTGTAGGTCAAAGAATAGGGTTGGGCTGAGTGAAAGAAACTGTACTCATCATCCTCACCAGCCGTACACCTGCCATACAGTGATGTGGGAGGGGAACTTAGTAAAGGGTTAAATGGAAATGGTGGAGTAGGGGTCTACTGGAAATAATATCTATATGCTTGAGGAAAACGACCACGAATAACGCGCTTACAGCTCTGGACAGCACTTAACTAGACAAGCTACCAGCTTGAGTGACCCAGCGTCTTCTGCTCATCTCATAGCAGTGGATGGACAACTAGGCAGCTAGGATCGGATTCATCCCATCTGCAGGTTTTTTAACTACCTGCAAGCGGGGTCACGTGAATCTTCATTAAAAAGTGCAAAGATCCCACAGCACTGACCGTAATCACCATTTCACGTGCAATATCAAGCTGGCTCATCCAGCTCCAATATTTCTATTACTGTATTCCGCATAAGTAGTTAGAGTTTTGGGTGAACATGGTACCCCGAGTGCTGTAAATTCGCCACAAGAAACGACTACTCCAGTCATATTTCACTGAAAATCATAGGATATTTCGTTGATAGTGATGGTTCGTTGCTCGATTAAGTGTTTCCTACTAACAAGACTTAGGGGTTCTAAGTCAAAATCAGCGAATTTGGCGCAATATAGTTTAGTTAGTTTGTAGTCAGAACACCGTGTGCTGCAACAAAGTTTTCTAATCCGACATTTCTGGTGTCGTGAGTGATCTTTTCGATATTTGATAGCAAAGTCTTTGAAAATGGTTCTCCGCGGCAGCGGAAACGTCGGTTTGTAATATCTCACTCCACTATGTTTCCGTCATTAAGACCACTGATGCTATTTACCTTCGAATATCGTGATCTTGCCTTCAAAGATCCCAGATGAAAATCTTTGCGGTTTGGTGAAATTACTTGTTTTTTAATAACGAATGTACGGGGTGCCCAAGAGCTATCGTATGTTTATGCTCATCCGAGCGAACACTTGAGACCTGGGATAGCTTTTGATAGCCTTCAGTAGTTAGAGTGTCTTTGTCGTGTACTCTGGAACAGAAGCATGTCAGTGCTTGTTGAGATATCGGGTAACTGAAATCTGGTTGCTTTCAGTGGATTCGAACGGCTCACAATAGACAAATCACTTGCATATCTGTTCAGATACGGATTTTCCTAATGGCTTTCCCACATCCTGCCACGAAATCACCACCATTGCCCGTGTGTTCTCTTTATATAGGTTTGCATTTCTACTCTACTACAGTGATCGCTGATATACGTTACCTGTTTCCGTGCATATTCTAGGTTTGCGCACTCAAGGTTTCTGCTGGTGCCCGAGAGCGCATCTTGCGAGCCGGTGGTGAAATCATCACCTTCGACCAACTTGCGAAACGTAGTCCACTTGGTCGCGGCACTGTTCTCATTCAAGGTCCAAGAAAAGGACGAACTGCTGAGCGACACTTCGGTCCCGCTCCTGGTGCCCCAGGAAGTCACACTCGTCCATATGTGATTTCAAAGGGGAGAAAATTCGAACGCGCTCGTGGTCGTCGAAAGAGTCGAGCTTATAAGAAATAAAATGCTCTTGTGTAGAATAAATGCTTCCTGATGGCTTAATTTTTATTCACTGGCTATCCTAATTTGGGCCGCGAATTTATTGCTGATCGGAAGCACTGCGGTTATTATTTGTGTATTTCAGTTTTTACCGTCAAATTTACCAAGTGCTTTTCTGCTAATCCTATCACACACGACTTGGTGAACCATGTCCGTTTGAATTTCGTACCGCACCTTCACAGTAGGAACAAGTTCAGTTATTTACAAGGGATTCAGTCTTTGTGTGATCGAGATTGCCTATGACTGTCGAGTGCCTGAATCTGGCATTGCCTTCTATCCTGTTTTGCTCTGTTATGTTGTTTGCCGAGTCACACATCGAACTTGATAGGTGTAGTAGAACCCGACCTCATTAGAACCGTAAGATCTCTCTTGGTAAGTCGCGGACGTTTCACTTTGAAATGACAGGAGCAGTTGTAGTCGAACTACTTTATCAATCATTGTGAAGGCAGAGTCCGGATTAAGAGGTAGGGTGAAGAGATTTAACCCATCTCATGTACCAGTCTGGTATGAATTTTCTCGAAGAACGAGACGCTTGATCCATTCGGTTCTTGACGGTGTCGCCCCAAGTTGCACACCAAAAAACTTGCAGCAACTCTTGGCTTCCACTTGTATTGTATTCATCACTTGTGCAGTTGCTTGTCAAATCCGGCGTTCCTGGTTGATCGTACTACACAGGCGATTGCATACGTCGTGCAAAACAAAATGAAACTGACGGACAGTTGGAAGCAACGAAACAGATATTCCTCTCGACAGAGCTCACTCATGGTCAATGACATTTGTGCAAGTGATATATTGAAAGCATCACGTTTGGTAACAATTGGGAGATCATAAGTTTGAGTGCAGGATTTAAAAGCATTCGTCCCAGTAGGTTTTCGGTTATAACATTCAGGGGTCATTGAACTAGTTTGGCTGTTGGGCTTCTGGGATCGATTCTGCGCATTTTTTCGGAACACCATTGTCTGGAGTACTCGTCCATGGCGACGTGGGTGGCTTTATTTTGCTTCAGTTTTTGCTACAGTGTGGTCTTCGGTAAGTGACCATAATTGTCCGTCACGAAGAGACTGGACCTTACACAGTGTGGTCTTCGTTAAGTGACCATAATTGTTTAGCACAACGAGAAAGGTGCACGCTAACCTTGGTGGGCTCCCGCTGTGCCGGAACACCGGCTTCGAAAAGAGCCTGGTTGTAGGAGGTCGCAGAAAGCTTCTAATCAGCAGCTTATTTGGTGCTGCTCAGATCGCTTTGCACTTCCTGTCAAACCTTCCCATACTGTCAGTTGTGAACCGTAGGGCGTTCTGGCGAGTTATGTACTTGTAAATTTTGGTGGGCATTTCATGGTTCGTTCGCCTAGCTGATCGGCACCAGCGGCACATCTGCCTAGTCATGCACTTGGTTTGGGACCTTCACTTCACAATGCTTGGTAGATGCCTGCGGTCGACTCACTTTTCGTTTGCTGCAGCGCCAGTCCGACACCCTTTCCAGTAGTGACGAACTTCGCTCGCAGTTATGGGAGAGTTGCGCGATGTTAAACATCCAACTCGAGGTTCGGTTTTGCCCCCACCGGTTACCCATTATTCATTTCTAGACGTTGACGCTTGGGTTTATGTGTGTGGCTCTTATTCGGGGAGTCTATTGTTCTTAAAAAACACCATATTTGTTTATCGAGATTTGGATGCCCCCGAACTGAATCACCTGGGCGTGTTTACACAAACCCAACTGTGTCCGATCCGTTTGGCAACTAAAAAGCTGATGACAGATGTTTTGTTTATAGTAATTATCATTATGACGCAAATCACCATGTCTACTTACAGTCACTTCCCTGGCAATTCAAGATTCTTCGATTGGGTTTCCATCGAAGTTGTGCAGTAGAATGGCGGCTGGTTTTGTTAACTTGGGGGACAGCTTTTTCTCTGAAGACAGTTCACGATCTCTCTATAGACCGTATCGACTGTTCCTCCATCCATCAGATGCTAAAATGTACGTTGAACTCAACCCAACACTGAAATTACCAGGCGGTCCCGAAACACTAACTGGTACTCTTCCTAAATGGCGAGAGTCGAGGTAGGCAAAATAACCCGAGGTTTGAAAGGGTCTACTTGTCAGGGAATGAGCCTTCGAAGAAACACCTACGCCAAATAACGCAAGGGGCAAAGCATAAAAAGCCGAGGCTTCTTAAGTCACATGACTAATTCAGGTTGGGGATTTCCACCTTATGGTGGAAATTTGTGGATGACCTTAAGCGCAATGCCAAACTACCTTTGTGGATGACCTTAAGCGCAATGCCAAAGCTGGCACCCACTTGTAAGGTTACTTTTGGAAATAAGTGACAAAGCACCCAAATGGGGGAGTTCCTTGTGTCCACAGGAAACGAGCTGATCGTCACGGTTACGCGTGTCATCCATTCAGTAGATTTTACCCAGGGTGTGAAACTAGGCTACTTCCAACTCTAGTTTCATTGCACCTTGCTTGTTCGAAACCGCCAGTTATACATTGTTAGGACGAGAATTTATTTCGTTATAATCATTGCTAGCGGTACCAAAGAAGGATACCGGTTGCCGCACGATGTCAGTTTACTTAAGTGGGGGCTTTGCAATGAAAAGGAGGAACAATAGATTGAGGCCCTAGGGTCAGTTTACCTCAAACACCCGAGTTCCCCACACCTCAGACAATCTGGATGGAAACTAATAGCGTGGACGCTAACGACATCGATTAACCGCCATGTCGTTCAGTGTACCCTTCGAAGCGCGAGTATTGGCACCTGAAAGGAACCCAGAATTTTGTTGTCATTCCGTTCTCCACATAACGTTCTCTCCACCTTCGGGCTTCATCCACTCCGAATCGGACACAGGAAACGGCGCAGTTTACGACAGATATGCCTAAGACAATCCAGCTTCCGCAGATTGCGTTTCGCGATGCCTTCCTTGAGTCAAATACCTTATGCTATACCACGGTCTCGTTCACTGGTCTCTACGGTTTCGCCCATTCCAACCGAAGAAGACTTGAAGATTATCCTTACCGAAGTTGTCATACTGCTGATCCCGTCCTCTGAAAACAAACAATACGCTTTTTTCACATCACGTGGCGCTAATTGGCCTTTGAGATTTGTGCGTTGACTTCGTTTTTCATACTGCTGCTAAGTTGATACAACCTCCTGGGTGCCTACACTGTTTTAAATTTTTCGGTGGTTCTTGAATTCCCGTAGCATAGCGCTGTATTTGTGTATCGACGGACTGCATCACCTCTGTCAGTTCTTTCAATAATGCTTCGCCTTCCTGATGTTTTCCTAAAGTGAAAATAATGTCATCTGCAGGGCTTTTGTTCGAAGATATCTGAACACTAGATAGGGGATCCTCTCCGTGTTTATCTCATTAGGTCACCAATGACAAAATTGGGAGAAAATTGACGGTGGATACCCTTGTAGGACACCGCTAATTGTAAACAAGTTTTTGGAGGACCCCTTATACACTCAGGCAACCGCAATTATCTGAATACAAGCAGCGCATAATATCCACGAACTTCTGGGGCATACTCTGCTGTGCAAGCGTTCTGAAAGCGCAGCGGTGGGCGGAGTCGAACACTCCCTTGAAGTCACGGAACACGAATATTGTAGGGCGCCTGTAGGTAGGTCGATGCTTTAACACTCAACGGGTGCAAAGACTTGGTCTACGCAGCCCCTTCGCATCCGGAATTCTGCTTGCTATCCCCGGGTCCCGTCTTCAAGATGAAAGATAAGTGAGTCTGGTCAAGCCAGCTCCTCCGGTTGCCACGCACTGCGTGAACCTTTTCTGAAAATGAGTTACCGTCAGCTTTAAGAACCGTGTACTTGCCGCACAGTGGTTCTGGATGTCACATTTCGCTCGCCGGTTATTTGGGGGAGATGGGGTAGGTAGCTGTGCCAAAGCCACCTGAAGTCCCGTTCGAACGTTGGAGTCTGGAAAGGACTATCCGCAACACTGCAAAATGATTGGCACTTTGCCTTGGAAACGGCGCAACTAAATGCATCTAAGCATTGGTTTTCGAGCGAATTCCTCGTCTCCTTCAAGCGTTACCCAACTACTGGCCTCAACTTCCACGTTCTCTCTCCAGAGATAGATATGAAACACCCAGTCGGTTGCTTGTCTGATTAATTTGCCCCACTATGAGACCGATGGGGAGATCTGCTCTGCATCCGCACTTCATTCTTGAGATAGCGCACACCAATAATCTGGTGTATAAGCAAGGATAGTCTGTTGTCCAGCTCGTTTAACAGTGCAAGCGTTAAAGACTCGGATAGACTGTGCGTCGGGGTTTCAATAATGATTTCATTTGTCTGCGGTTTTGGCTGATTCGGGTGTAGGTACTGCAACTAACGGCGGTGTGTGGCAAACAGAATTGTCCGTCCTTAAGAATGGCGACGGGGGTGAAGAGGAAGAGAACATATATGTTTTTGAACCCCCGATATGCGAGGTGGGTGTGTTACTACTGCCCACCGTATGCTGGACTCGTCTGAATTGTCACGTTTAACCAGGCGAACCTGTTCACGCTTGACTGGTTTGCCCGACGACCCAGCAACTGTCCCGGTGGATTAGTGATAAGGCTCAGGCCTCGCATGTCAGATGTTTGGAGTACAGATGCGACACGATCTAGAATATGCACTGCTTATGGGCTCTAAGAAGAGTGAAACTAGAGTCCAGTACTTCCTCCCTTTGGCGTGGACCCATCAGAATACTTGCACCAGGACAGGAGACCTGATGTGAACGTGAATTCCACAACCAGCCTTACTGTAAGCAGGGCTTACCTGGTGAACCCCAAGAAGGGCGAAACCGATCGTGGGCCGTCGGAGAGTTTCCTTCATGAAAATGTACTACGATATCTCGAATGCCATCTGTAACATGAGGCGGCATTGGTGCAGCACATTCAGTCGAAGAATATCACAATGGAGTCTACCGTGAAAACCTGATTGATTTGCAAATGAGTGTATTTGTCAAAATGTTTTTTTTGTTGCTTACCAACCTTGCTGAA